GTAATAAATTTACATTTTTAAATTTTAATCTTAAGCAGTACGTAACATTTTGGCTTTACATTTTTCTTGTAGCTCTTTTTTCTGAGCAACTACAACAGCACTTCGCTCGTCCAGAAAATTTGCATAGTCTTCAGCCTTAAGTGCACGCACAATTTGAATCCCGCAAGTACGAGCTATCCCCACTATCCCAGTGGCCGCACCGAACAACAACCTAGTGAGACAGTTTTCTTTTTTAAGACTGCTCATCGCATGTTATCTAATACTAATAGCATTAAATTGATTATACGTGCTAATCAGAAATGCGCACCAGTCTTGCGTAAAATTCAAATATGGGGCTTACCAGCTCGTTCTTTAGATACGGTTGATCGTGAATTGGTGAAAAGCATTTGGAATGAAATAACCAACCCTTACGATCCTTTAGAACGTCAGAGAATCGCCGAAGAAGTGGGTCAACGATCTCCGTCACGTTGTGTACCCGAATTGAATAAAGAATCAACATTACAAATACCAGAAGAATTCCTTGATGCAATTACTTGGGAATTAATGGTAAGTACGGAATATGACTTTTTTAAACGAAAAAATACACAGAGAGAAAGAGAGAAGGAGAGAAAAGCTTAAAAATTAAATAGGCGAAAAATAGTCTTAGAGTGGCATAGCGTGTACTATGCACGTATATATATGTTCGTCAACATGATTTGATAAATAACTAACACTACGAGAGCACTTTATATAGGTGTGACATGTTGAAAGGTGAATGCCAGTGTGACAGAGTGCTACATCTCATCCCCTTTAAAATGTATATTAAGATTAGATCAACATTTTCGTTTTGCTCTCCGTATCATTAACCCCATCGCATTCACTAATTGGGTTTTGCTCCCATGGGTTTGTGTAGTTACTATGGCTTAATTTAGATTACTCTTGCAATACTGTTGCCCAACAAAGCTTGGCTTACTGTAAAGTGTTTGTGTTGCTTTTAGTGGCGGCATATTTCTAGCTATTTAAATGGTTATGAGTTGCAACATCAAATAGGCAATGCTGAATCGATCACGCCGTGTCCGTGATAAAGATTCTTTAGTAAGCTAGTGCATATTTTCCAGTCTTTGCGGTAATTGATCTTCAATCTGTATATATATTGTTTGTACATTTCTTTATACATATATATTTGTTTTAAATAAAGCTCAGATCAGTTGCTTTTTGTTTTTCGTCTCAACTTTAACGAATCAATGACATAATTCGCCGTGCTAATTGAGAGAAATTCGGGTGAATGCGAAGTCCTTTTTCTCAAACTTAATAATTATAGAGATTGCTTTAGGGTTATAATACTTTGCTACATTTTTTCTTTAAATTTCCTAATTTTAATTAAATTAATTTTTTATTATTGTTTGCGTGTTCAACGTCCGCTACGACATACTAGTATTTATGTCATATTAACCGAATAAGTGAACTAGATATGCATACTTTTATATGACGTTAGCGAAAATCTAATAAGTTGATAACACCGAAAAGATTGAACGCAGAAATATAACTCGACTAATTGATTCGCTGAATTTCGATAATATAATTTTTTTAATGTTAATATTTATTATCTGTTTGTTTTTAATTCATAGTTTTTCAAGCAATTTTTTCTTCACTTTATTCGATTTCGTCTACTTTTATTGCACACTCAATAAAGTAACAAATTTTTACAAAATTCTGATATGGCAGCTTTATGTCTACGGTGCAAGAAATAAAGTGCATTTTTATAAAAAAAGTTAATTTAATTGTACAGAGGCTACTCCAAAAAGTAACCATGAATTTAATAAACGGTATTAGACTGTACATTGAAAAAATGTGTAGTGAGTCAGGACCAGGCATGAAAAACATGTTACTGGATCGAGAGACTGTAAGTCTGTTCAATTCTGCTTTCATTAAAAAATTTAAAAATTTTCCATTTCTGTAGACTAGCATTATATCAATGGCTTTTAGTCAGTCGGATATGCTGCAACGCGAGGTGTATTTATTTGAACGCCTGGATTCTGGGCGTTCTAATGAGCGCATGAAATATCTCAAATGTATAGTTTTTATTAGACCAACCAAACAAAACATTCAACTTCTAGCAAACGAATTACGTAGTCCCAAATATGGTTCATATTATATATGTAAGTTCCATTACATATATAATTAATAAATTAAATATTACATTAAAACATATATTTATTATTTACATATGTATATAATAGATTTTAGTAATATCATACCACGTACTGATATCAAATTTCTGGCTGAATGTGATGAGAGCGAATCTGTAAGGGAGGTGAAGGAGTTTTATGCTGATTATTTAAGTGTGAATCCCAATTTATTTTCTTTAAATATACCAAAATCCATGCAGCGTTTAAATTGGCTTCCAGAAGCTTTAACTCGTTCTGTACAAGGTATTATTGGTGTATTGCTAACGTTGAGATTAAATCCTGTAATACGCTATCGAGCTGGATCGTCGGTAGCGCAAAATTTGGCCAAACAAATATTTGAGCAAATCACTAAAGACTCCACACTTTTTGAATTTCGACAACAAGAAAATGGAGCAGCTCCACCTCTGCTCTTATTACTCGACCGTCGTGATGATCCGGTCACGCCTTTACTACATCAGTGGACTTATCAAGCTATGGTTCATGAGCTACTAACAATACGAAATAACAGACTAGATTTGTCTAATATTCAAGGCGTACCTAATGATTTTAAAGAATTGGTTTTATCCGGTGAGCAAGATGAATTCTATAGTAAGAATATGTATGCAAACTTCGGTGAGATAGGCTCAACCATTAAAAGTTTAATGGAGGAGTTTCAGCGTAAGGCCAAGGATCACAAGAAGGTCGAAAGTATAGCTGATATGAAAAATTTTATTGAATCATATCCGCAGTTCAAGAAAATGTCAGGCACTGTTCAGAAACATTTATGCATAATGGGTGAGTTGTCTAATTTAACCAGCAAACGTAATCTGTTTGAAGTTTCTGAATTGGAACAAGAAATAGCTTGTAAGGCCGAGCACTCCGCTCAGCTGCAACGTATTAAGAAAATTATTGCAGATGAAAGAATAGCTATTAATGATGCCGTAAAATTAGTAGTTCTGTATGCTTTGCGATATGAACGTCACGCGAATTGCGACACTTCGGGCCTATTGCAAATAATCAAAATGCGAAGCGACCAAGCTCACATAATACCTAGTTTGATTGAATACGCTGGTACTCATGTACGGCAAGGAGAGGTATTTAGTTTGGTACGCATAACAGATGCTGTAAAATTGACACGGAATCTAATTAAGGGATTGAAGGGCGTAGAAAATGTTTTTACTCAGCATACGCCACTACTGAAGGAAACTTTAGAAGATATTTTTAAAGGCCGTGAATTAGATCCATTATATCCGGCCATTAATTCAGAATTAGTGCCATTTCGGCGACCACCTCAAGAAGTTGTAGTTTTTATTATAGGGGGAACTACTTATGAGGAAGCTTTGGCAGTTCATCAGCTGAACAATAACGGCTATCGTGTCATCCTGGGAGGAACTACTATACATAATTCGCAAAGTTTCATCGACGAAGCATTAGCTGCAACAGAAGGCTTGCAATTCAAGCATACGAAGTCTATGATGAAATATTATGCAACTTCCGAAAATTTTTAGATATATTATTGTGCAAGCGATACAAATATATTACTTCAGAATGTTATTGTTGAGCATTTATTTACTTGGAGAATATATTTAAAAAATGACTTATCATAATAATCAATTGTAGGTCAGAGTGAAATAACAACCCCTCATATTTTCAAATTTGAATTTCCTTCATTAGTCGTTTTCATTTGGCACACTCTGCGTACTTAGAGATTTTGCTAATGAAAGCTTGTCATCGCCAAATTTGCTAGCGAATGAATCCCGTCCTAAATGTATTTGCATGTGAGTTTTCAACACGCAGGAATATTTAAATGATTTTTCACATTCGCTACACTTATAACGTCGTAAATCAGAATGAACTCGCATGTGCCTGCGCAATTTATCTTTACGATTAAATGATTTACCACATTCGGAACAAGTATGTGGTTTTTCGTCGCTATGCGTTACCAAATGATATTTTAAATTTACTAAACTTTTGAAAGTTTTTTCACAGAATTCACATTTGTATGGTCTATCATCAGTATGTATACGGACATGTGTGCTTAACGTGCTCTTTCTGCCAAATGACTGACCGCAAAACGTGCATAAATAGGTCCGAACTAATCCCTTTTTAGTTTTACGGGCTGACTTTGGGTTTTTAATGATGTTCTCACCATTAATGTGTACTTGCTTAACGTGTCTTTGCAAATCGCCTTTGCGACTGTATCGCTTAGGACATAAGGTACAACAGAAACTGCCTTTAAAAACAGTGATAGGCTTAAAATATTTATCTACAGTTTCCGGACCATGCATGTTTCTTAAATGAACCTTAATTGCTGACGTGCGGCTAGTTTTAAAATTGCATAATGCACAAGGTATCTTTTGTTCGTCTGGCATATGAGTGTATGTTTTATGTTTTTTCAAAGCTGCTGCATTCTCGTACACTTTATCGCAAACATCGCAACGCACGGCCAATGCTTTAAGCGGCAAATTGAATTCTTCTGCTACATCATCTTCAACGGCCGACGAGACGTCGGTAGCATCACTGCTTATATTTTCCACACGGCAATTACTAATAAAAACCTCATGATTGCAGGTTATGTTTTTAATCAGTTGCAATTATTTACCTTAACGTATTTTTGTCCATTGTCTTGGCTCTATTAAGTTTTACGTTAGTCGTAAAGGAACGATCAGCTTTTTCGGTCTCACTCCATAAAATTTCCGTTACTTCTGGTTCTGTTTTAATTTGCACTTCCACTAGTTCTAGCAAATGTTGTTGTGGTGTTTCGTTTTCATCAGGATCTGCCTTAATTTGTACATCATTAAGTAAAGGCAAATCAATGGGAATTTCTTTCAAGCAGTTTTGAGTTGTAAGACTGCATAAAATAAATTCTTCATGTCGCTTACGTGCTAGTATTACAAACTTATGAATTCTCTTTAGCAAACTGGCGCATTTTTTGCATATTTTTTGCGGCAGTTGATCTTCTAAAACAGAAGTACACTAAGCATTCAATAACAGGATTAGGTCTAATGTTTTCACAAAACATTGTGTATGTTAAAACTTACATCCAATTGTAATATATCCTTCAATAGCTCGCCGTAAGTTTTTGAATGATTATCAACTTCGTTAATTTCTTGTTGCAAGGACAGATAACTTGATGCAGTTTTTATACATGTGCGGCATCTTGTATCCTTAGTTTTAATTTTGCTTGGGCTGACGGAACCTGTAGACATAGTGTCCATTGCAATAATCCCTAATTTTTAGCACACAAAACAAATTATTGTCTTCTTCTTTTTATTCTTTTGAACGTAAAAAATTACTGAGCTGCTGACATTTGGTATTACAAAATGAAAATGCATTACAAAACTACAGTAAAAAGAAGAAAACTATGCTAAGCATTCCTTTCCTATGTGACAATAGCTGTCTAAATCGAAATTAGATAATTAAGTGTCGAATTATATACGCACCAGCAAGGGATTCAATTTGGAATATTTCATATGTAGATGCTGCAATGGCTGAAGGACTAAACTAATGCCAACAATTTTTTGTTGAAATCAATAAAGTGTACGCCTTCCTTTTTTCGATGTGTGTTTACAATATCAAATATGAAGATGAAATATCCTAAAGTACAGCATACCGAGCGGGCGTACTTCCAAATCCCTCTTGAATATTTAACAACGACATCGGTCAGATCTTCTACATGGTGGCATCGAGCCTGCTGTTTTATAATCTTCATTACAAGCGGATTAGTTATCTATAGTATATTTCGTAATGGTGTTGTTAAGAATGAATACGCCTTTAACGGGCAATGTAGTCTTCAATTGGTGGAAAGCATTCCTGACGGCCTAAATTACAGTGAAAATAGTCCAAAGTTTTTATCAACGTATAATGCCTGGAAAATCCTAATAAATTTCACCGAAGAGTCGTTAAATATCGGTTCTTTTTATTGGACAATGTTAGGATCGGACGTCGTTGACCATCCTTCAGCTATATTAGGGGAAAATATATATGAAGCTATTAAAGCAAAAGGAGCGAATCGTGACATTACAATTCGTATCGCACAAAGCGAGCCGACAGCCATTTCAAACAATTCAGATACTGAAATATTGCAACAAATAGGAGCAGCTGAAGTGCGTTCCGTCAACTTTACTCGTTTGTTAGACGGAGGAGTCTTACATACAAAATTATGGGTTGTAGATAATAAGCATTTTTATCTGGGAAGTGCGAATATGGATTGGAGATCTTTGACCCAAGTTAAAGAGTTAGGCGTCCTTGGTATAAATTGCAAAACATTATCTGAAGACTTTATGAAAATCTTTAATGAATATTGGTATCTTGGTAATCAAACAGCCAATATTCCTAAGAAATGGCCGAAGGAATATTCCACGAATTTCAATTTTGCTAACCCTATAATTGTGAATAGTAGTGGAAATAATTTGCACGCAGTGGTTTCGAGCTCTCCACCGCCGTTGACATCGGCCGGTCGGGTGGATGATTTGGAATGCATATTGAAAACCATAAATGATGCAAAATCTTTTGTGTATGTCGCAGTGATGGACTACTATCCGCTTATAATGTATACCGAAAACATGAGATATTGGCCTTTTATCGATGATGCTTTGAGAAAAGTGGCTATTGAAAATAAAGTAAAAATAAAATTACTTATTTCTTGGTGGCGTTATTCAAGTAAATCTGAAAACTATTTTCTGAAATCTTTAACTGATCTAACCAAATCCCTGAAAGGCGTCGATATACAGGTACGCCGATTTATTGTACCTATAAACCAAGATCAATTGAAAATACCACACAGCCGAGTTAATCACAATAAGTACATGGTTACTGACAATGCGGCATATATTGGAACATCAAATTGGTCTGGAGACTACTTTACAGATACGGCGGGTATTGGCTTGTACCTGCAAGCAGTTAACAATAGTACGTCCGCCGCAGGTATAAGAGAACAGCTCTTAAGTGTCTTTAGCAGGGATTGGTATAGTCCTTACGCTGGCAACACATGAATACATATACATCTACGCATAGATCTGTATGTATATATATTTATATTTTCCGTTTGATACCAATTATTTTTCTTATAAATTTCGGCTTTTAAATAAAAAATTATAACTAAAAGGTGAAATCAGATATTATTATTATTATTATTTTAATTTTAGACTAATGAAATGAATTCTTAGACTAAAAAAAAGACATTTGAGCACTAGCAACACAGGCTATCGACTCTAATTATAAAAAAGAATAATAAAATGTACATTAGATAAGGAGTTTAGTAGTATTAATAAAGTAATGTATAGAATTGATATTCTGTTCTGAAGCTGATTGTAGAATGTTCAAAGGGTTAATCGTTCCAAATGCAATACTTCTAGCCAAGGAAAAGTTGAGGCAGTCGCAGAGAATGTGCTTTATAGTAAGAGTTTGTCCACAACTGCAGATTGGGGAGGAAGACTTCTTCAAGATCCATTGGTGAGTTGTGATAGTCTGACCAAGGCGGATTCTCGAAAATGTTTGGATTTTGGTTTTCTTAACGTTTGTTGGATATAGATGTGGAATTAATTGAGGGTTAATGGAAGAGAAGTGTTGATGATGGTATTGTAGATTTTCTTCAGCAATTTTCTCTTTAACTTTTCTCCCAATGTATCTTTGAAGATCCAACTTTTCCATGACATCATCTTGAAGAAGTTTTCCTCCCCAATCTGCAGTTGTGGACAAACTCTAACTATAAAGCACATTCTCTGCGACTGCCTTAAGTTTTCCTTGGCTAGAAGTATTGCATTTGGAGCGACTAACCCTTTGGACATTCTAAAATCAGCTTCAGAACTGAATATATATATTACTTTATTAATACTACTAAGCTCATTATCTAATGTACATTTATTTATATTGGAGCCGATAGGCTGTGCTGCTAGTGCTCAATGTCTTTTTTTTAGTCTAAGAATTTATTTCGTTAGTCTAAAATTGTAATAATAATAATAATAATACTTTGGTGTACGCTGCTGCAATCACGACAATGCACCTGTTTGTTTTCAAGATACATAGAAGAGACTAGCGGGAAAGAAACCATAGGTACAAACCTGGGGAAAACGGCTACAATGTAAAGTAAATCAGTTACACGTCAAACTAGGAAGACTCACAGCCAAAAAAGAAAGTCAAAGAAAAATCTTCTTAAAAATACTTAAGGCGAACATAGGCGATTAAATTACAGAAGGTGAAGTGCTGCTACAGAAAAAAAAAAAACAGCAAAAAATTATGACGTTGGCAAAAAGACTGAGGGGATATAAGAAAAGCATGAAGAGAAAACAACAAAATAATGAATTTAGTGGAAATGAAAAAGCCTTCTACCAGAAATTAGATAACGTCCCCCATGATAGCCATCTTGTTATAGCTAACATGAAGCAGTATTGGGAGAAAGTGTGGACCGCCCGAGAAAGCTACAACAAACGATCAATATGGATCAAAGAGGAACAAAAAGACACTCAATTTTTACAAAAACTGGCGTTTATTAGAAGAACAAAAAGGCGAATCAAAGTAGCTGTGAGCAATATCCAAAATGTGAAAGCAACCGGTCTTGACGAAATATATAATGTGAAGAAATTTGTAGCGATACACGAACTTGTCAAATGCTATGTCTAGCTGGGACATGTACTACAAAAGAATTATTTGCATTTTATTTCCAAAATAAAAAGATCCGAGGACCTGTCGGCTGATTACGTGTTTGTCGGTATTATATAAATTGCTCACAAAACTAGTCGCAAATAGTTCATATGCTCACTGCATGGGAAACGATCTAATAAGTGAACAGAAAGGATGTAGAAAAGAAACGCAAGGATGCAAGGAGCAAATTATAAGTAACGTAAACGTAGTCGTTCAAGCTATACATAAGCACAGGAATTTGAGTACGTTGACTAGAAGAAAGCATCTAACTTAATACCGCATGAGCACTTAATCGGCTTCTTGCGAATATACAAAGTCAGTCACATAGTAATTGAGTTTTTAGAACACATTGGAGGCGGACGGAATGTCAGTCTGCGTACTGACTGCAAACAAGTGACCGAATCTCAATCCAAACGGATGAAAATGGATGAATTTTATTGAACCTTTTTTTTTAAGAAATAACTTTCTGTCTAAAAGCTTAAAAAGCTGCAACGGATAACTCATAATAATGAGTTCTGCTTGCGTTCGAAAAATATTTTTTTTTTATTTTATATACGTACAGATGAAGCATTCGTTATTGTAGGTTATACATTTTAATAAAAACATGCGCATCTTTTGAGTATGACTGGCTAGTCGTGCATTGTTGGCAAACCGTATTTCATATAGTTTGGGTTTGCAAGGGCCCTCATATTTATTAGATACAGCTTGTTCTAGTTCAATGTACGCTTTAGATAATGCTTTCAACGGTGAAATGGATGCAAAGATCATTGCGGGCGCCAACTTATGTTTACTTTCTGTTGTCACATTGCAATTTGTTCGGTAAATCTTCATAATCGCAGAAAGCGTATTCAGAATTACCATTTCCAATTACCTGTGGAAGATTTGGTGTGTTGGCTAATGATGGTTATGGAAAACCTTTTGATAAGACTGCATCGATCTAAAGCTATTAACTGCTTATTCTTGCAAGGAAAACGTGATGCTAAACGCGTGTATGACAGTGTAGTTTAGTCGAAAACCAATTGAAAACCAAATCACTTATCCTTCCGCAAAATTGCAGGAGAAATTGCTGAGGGAAATTTATGATGAAATTGATATGTGTGCAGACGATTTAAGTTACTTGGAGGCTCCCAGTATTGGCACGGTAGTCGGTGATCCAGAAGAATGCAAAGCCGTTGACAACGTTCCACACCCTTGTTGGTAGATTCTATTAAGTCAGGCATTGCTGAACCGGCTTTGGGTATATGTTCGCTGTTTAAATTTGCTTTATTTTTGAAACAGAAAAAATTCCACCTAATAATTCCACCTTGAAGGAGCTAAAATCAGAAATTTCTGCTTTAGATGAAGAGCGTCTAATAGTTGTCAAGGATGTAATGAATTTAGAAAAACCGTATATTAGAGTCAGTTCATTTGACTTCGGAGGCGCCAATGCTTATGTGTTGTGAAAGACTTTTGATAAAACCAAATCTAACTATGGAGTGCCTGATGACGACATTCCCCGTTTAATTACCTGGGCTGCATGGGCTGAAGAATCAGTCAATGTAATTTTAGATTCAATTGAAAAGAAACCTCTGGACGCGGAATTTATTGGTCTACTACACAACATACAAAACGAAGATGTGACAAGATTGGTGTTTCGAGGCTATCGAGTTTTCGCTAAAAATGGAAACACATTCGCCAAATCCCTTGTTAGATGTGTTCATCATTACTCTGGAATTAAAAGACCCATCGTAAGGGTATTCAGTGGGATGGGATCTCTTTATTCTAAATGGGATCATCTTTAATGGTTATATCTCAGTTTCGAAAACCTTTTGAACGCTGTCATAAGGCATTGGCATCAAAGGGACTCACATTGGCAAAAATCCCCGCTTCATCAGAAGCAACAATTTTTGAAAATATTTTGTATTGTTTCGTGGGTATTGAAGCCGTACAAATTGCCATTGTGAACCTTTTGCGATCTTTGAATATGAAGCCTGACTATATCATAGGCGTAATGGCATGCGGTTATGCTGACGGTGGATTTACAGCAGATCTTTTGTATAATACTTAATTATAAAGGTATATTCCTCTAACAGAGAGATGCAGCACAGAGTATTCAGCAAACAAAATGGAATGAAATTAGGTTGCAAAAAATGTAAGATATTAAACATCACGTACTTTATTACTTTAAGAGTAAACTGAACTCGACTGTCAATTTGTTTTAGTTGAGTTCCATGTATAAGTAGAATTAATAAATAAATCACGTCCGAAACTACATGATGTACAAGTTAAAATCTTAAGGACGTACTTTATATCGCAAAGAAGATGCTCTATCACAGAAGTGTTAGTGAAAGTAGATAAAAATTACACGCCCATTTTCTGCTTTATGAGTTTCGTGACTTAGTAATCTCATTTTATAACGATATTGAAGATATTGAAGAGTTTAATTTTGAGTATTGAGACGGACTATCAGGTTTGATGCGAAGTTGCAAGACCTGTGACATATGGTTTTCTCTTACGATTAGTGATCATTCACACACGGCTGTTATTTTTATTCCTGATATCGAGAATGGGTGGATGTAAAAGTATTTCGTCGTTCTGTATTTGTATGAAAAATTTGGTTCGGCTAAAGGAAGTTTTAGAGCTCCTTATCATATAACCGTTCCTGCGAACTACAAAAGGATCTAATTTTTAATATTTCATTGTGAATGTTGATTCATAGTAGCAAATTGGCAAAGAAATTTTAGAACTCTTAATCTTTGATCATTCCCACCAATTTTTTCGTTGATAATATGCCTTTTTGGCACCAGTAGATGAAAGCATAGAAAATAATTCTTTGCTCTTCACAAATATTTCGAGATTTCCGTCATTAGCAAGATTAAGCAGTCTTTATATCCTTTACTTGTACGTCGTTTCTGCTTCTCGTAACGATATTTTACGTTACTTTCGCTTTATGTTCAAGTAGTATTGAAAACCGTCGATTGATTTATTTCATTTTTTGAGCTAGATAGAGCTATAAGCTGATTATTGTAGGAAGAGTATTAATGTTTTTTTTTATATAAAACAACTTTTTAAGACTACAATTTATAATTTTTTCTCCTATTTTCATTTTTTAAAAAGGTGAGCCAACTCCGCCCCAATTAAAAATATTATGATAAATATGGACGTATCGAGTTGTCTCGTTCGAGGGATTTTTGCACTGCTTTCTTATGTAGCAAAAGAAAGTGTTTGTTTTACGACTTGCTTCACTATATTCTAAATGTAAGTTCAAGTTTTTGGTCTATTTTAGAGTTAGAGTCGTCACCACTAGCTTGATATTGCAAGTTGCGATTGTTTGCTTGTCTTATTTCAGTTTCAAACCTGATCTATGGCTGTCAACCAAGTATACTTTTATCAGTGTGCAAATTTCTATGACAATTATTGCAACTGTAAGTTTTCTAACAAGGATTAAGGACGATTTCTTTCAATCCACCCAGATGGATAATTTAATGATCGTGGCATTCTAATGCAGCATATTGTCTTTTTTTGGTGTTTGTTGCTTGCTTATCGCGAGGAATTTTTTAACTAAAGATCACAAATTAAACATCGACTACTCGTCTTATTCAAATTTAGCTTAAAGTAAATTCTACCTATTCACTTGCTTATGAAAGGAAACTCCACAGCATTGGCTCCAGCCAAGAGGTTTCTAATTTCAGAATAATAAATAACTTGGCGCACTTGTCACACGTACATGTCGTTAATACAGATCACTATCCAAATAATGTGTTTCCTTAAAACTACAAGTCTTGGTTTCTATTTTGAAAGAGTCCTTTTTATGTATATATATATATATATTTACTTCATATCTGATAGAATACACTTTAAAAAATGTATCTTACATTTAACTTAGTAAAAAAATTTGCACTCTGCTTGCCCTTTCTAGCAAACAGACATGTAGATCTTTAATGCATTATTTGAAATCCGAAAGTTCCTTATTGCTCGTGGCCATTTGTCACGCAATGTACATTTAGAGATGTTCTTAATGAGAAGCTTTCTCCACAAGTTTTACAAGCAAATGGAGTTTGTCCCGTGTGAATGTGCATATGAGTTTTAAGCACGCACGAATATTTAAATGATTTTTCACATTCGCTACACTTATAAGGTCGTAACTCAGAATGAACGCGCATGTGCGTGCGTAACTTGTCTTTACGTTTAAATGATTTGCCACATTCGGAACAAGTATGTGGTTTTTCATCGCTATGTGTTACCAGATGATATTTTAAAGTTTCTGAACTTCGAAAAGCTTTCTCGCAAAACTCGCATTTAAAAGGCCTATCGCCCGTATGAGTGCGAACATGTATACTCAAATTGCCCTTTTCAGCAAACGATTGACCACAAAAAGTGCATAAATATGTTTGATTTGATCTTTTTTTGGATTTCTGGCTCGATTTTGGTTTCTTTACTAAATTCTCACCATTAACGTGTACTTTTTTGATATGCCTTTGCAGATCATCCTTGCGACTATATCGTTTAGGACATGAAGTACAGCAAAAGCTTCCTTTAAAGACTCTGCGAGGTTTAAAGTATTTATCTACGGTCTCTGGACCATGAATAGTTCTTAAATGTACTTTAATTGCTGACGTACGGCTAGTTTTAAAGTTACATAACGCGCAAGGTATCTTTTGTTCGTCTGGCATATGAGTGTATGTTTTATGTTTCTTCAAAGCGACCGCATTGTCGTATACTTTATCACAAACATCACAACGCACGGCCAATGATTTTTGAGGTAAACTAAAGACTTCTGCCACATCATCGTCAGCAGCCGAGGAGACGTCAGTAGCGTCATTGCTCAAATTTTCCAAGTCGAAATTACTAAAAAAGATGTGTTCGAAAGCAATGGCTTAAATCGCTTTTGTAAATTTACCTTAAGGTATTTTCCTCTGTTACATTAGCGTTATTAAGATTTGTGAATGTATTAAGCGAAGCTACAGGTCGTTCATTTGTACTATGTAAAGATTCTATAAACACTGGTTCTGTTTTAATATGCACTTCCACGAGCTCCAATAAGGTATGTTCAGGTTCTGCTTTAATCTGAATTTCCTTTAGCTGAAGCAGATCAATAGGCATCTCTTGTAAACAATCCTCAGTTTTAATATCGTTTATACATCGTAAAAGTTCCTCATGTCGCTTACGTGCTTCTGAGACAAATATGTGGACTTTCTTCAACAAACTGGCACATTTTTTGCAAATTTTTTGAGGGAGTTGGTCCTCTAAAACAGAAGTATACTAAGCGTCCAATAACAGCATTAGCACTAAAGTTTTCACAATATATTATATTTTTTAAAACTTACATCTAATTGCAACAAATCCTTCAATAGCTCACCGTATGTTTTTGACTGAGTATCTAAATTGTTAATAGTTTGTTTTAAAGGCTGATAACTTGCTGCAGCCTTTATGCATGCACGGCATCTTACATCTTCAGGTGTAGTAACGCAAGAAATACGGGAATTAACAGAAATCATGTCCATCCTGACAGATTTGAAATAACTTGGATTGAATTTTCTTTTAGGCTTTACTTGTTAATTAACACAAAAATCAAGTTAATATCTTCTTCTTTTTTGCGTTTGAAACTAAAAATTAAATCAACTGTTAACACTTAATGCTACAACACACGATGCTGCGTTGTTCTTATTTTCGGGATTGGACTTCAACTTTGCTGACTTTTTACTAGACATATAGGAATTGGTAAATCGTGTTTATTTTAATTTCCATTTATTTTAAATTTTGAAATTATTTATCTAATTTATGTTCATTGTTTATTAATTTAGGTTTTTTTCTTGTTGTACCATTTAAAATTTTAATTTATATTTTACATTAATTTATAGAAAATGAAAAGCGAACAATAAAGACGATTTATTCGCAATTTTAAATATATTTGTTCAGTCTAAACATTTAAGAAATTCTTTTGCTTTGTTTTATTATGTCCGCGAAGTCCTCCTTGGTCCTTCTTTTAAAACCATTTTTCTTTATTCTTTATGTCATAAATCAATCAAAAATTTAAGTCGCCCTTACATTAATTTTCTTAGCATCGTTTTTCATATAATTGTTGTTTACACCGTTTTTGCCCGAATTCCAAAAACCAATAAAGTTTTTTAAGGTTTTTTGATGTTGCCGTGGTCCCAAATGTTTTATAACATAATATGATAACATTCCGGGATATCTAAAAAACTGTTTGAAGAGCAGGTAGGCTTCGTCGTTCTTATGCCTCAAATATTTTAGCACTATAATGTAATCTAATAAAGTTGGTCAATAAGATAATGTTAAAAAAATCAATTTTTTTACACGCCTATCTCTGCCTACTTTTTCTTTCATTTTTTATATAATTTTCTTTTAATTATTTAAAAATGTTCTTTTTTATCTTTATTATGTTACCGTAATAAAATTATTCAGTGACGTACTTAAGAGTATTGTGCTGTTTTTTAAAGTCCGCAAATTCATGATCACACGCCAGAATATCAAAAACTCACAAAAACTCGCAAAACCAATGTGGCGTATATATAATTAACGGGTTATTTTGGTCAAAAACAGGGATGAAACTGTATTTAAAAATTTTCTTTACGACTTTATTAAAAGATCCTTTCAGCTGGTTCGTCCCTAGGTAATTTGTAAAAATAATGAAACAAAACTATGGGGCTCTCAGTATAGTCAAGATGTTCCGTTTTGTTCTTTATTTAGAATTACATTATGCTGAGGTGGTCACGTTAGTGCAGGCAGGATGTCATTGTTTAGACTTATAGAAATTCAGAATATCGCGGTTGACTTTACTATGTATTCACTAACACATTGGCTGGGCGTGGTCACGAGTGATATTGCGGCTCGTTTTAAGTATTAGTTTCGCGATACTACTCGTCTCACTCGTTCTGTAAAAGAAAATTCATTGGACATCAGCAGTGGAGTTTGTAGTTTCATAAAGTTAGCAAGCTTTGGTAAATTCCAAGATGAACCTAATGTGGTGGTGTGTAAGCGACTGTAGTTAAGCTTACGATTTAGTGAATAGGGAACCGGAAAGTAAGATGCACTAGGTAGCATAGACTGGGATTGAAGAGTAAATTTTGGTAAGCAATGAAAACAGGATAAGAGGCATGCATTTATTCTAATGTCGATTGATTGGTAAAGTGTGGAACCTCTATTGGATTCATGCCAACTGGAAAATGCTACGACATTAATGAGTTATTAATAAATTTTTGATGTCGACACTTTGATTATGCTTACCTAATTGATTCTATACGTTACGTGCCACTTAACAACTAAATAACTTCATAAAAATAAATAAATACACTGTAAACATAATCAACAGGCGAGCGTTGAAACCGTTAACACCTTTATCCAATTGCCGTTGACGGAGCCAAACTTTTAGTAATGTCAGGCTTTCTTGCAAATCTTTGCGATTTTCATAAACTTCGCGTAATAACTTCTGAGCTTGCTCCATTGTTATATCAAATAATACAGTAGCATTATAGTGTTAAATGATGAGCATTCATAAGCAAATGAAACTCTTGTCAATGTATCATCATGACATCATCGAAAATTACTATTACATACCGAAATCTCTACAATTTGGAAAATTTGATAACACTGCAAAGTTTTATTGCGTCCTGCGTGGGTGTGCAAACGTAGAAATGCTAACTTGGATTGGTACCGTGATAGACCCGTGTCAAATTTTCTTGGATGGCTGGCTCCGCTGTAGGTCTACACCATTATAAACTTAACATTTACAATAATAATATTAATAAATAAATAAATATAAGCTCCGTTTATACATAATGTACTGTGAGGAATCAAAGTCGTCCCTCGTTTTGGCCTCACAGGCCAAAGGGGGAGTGATTCTAAGCGACTTAACACGGTTGTCAACATACTATGAAAGCAATTTTAAATCTTTTTTTACCCAGTTAAAGGAAATTTCTCATTGAAGCTTTTATTTTTAATTCTCTCAAATCAATCACCACCTTTTTTTTAATGAGTTTCCTCTGATACTACAAGAAAAAGTGCATTATATGAATTGGAATTTATGGGCGGTTTTATTATATTATCCTTTAAAAGCTTATAAACTTGGCTATCAATTTCATTCAGACGAGAATATGTGAATCTGTTGTTTTTTTGCATAAAAATAAGTTTTGTGACCCTTACAGATTTCGAGAACAGAAATGATTTTACTAATGTTTTTCATACAAATTCAAATGGCATGCTTTCTCCCTTTGTATTTTACTAGTGTTTTTCATACAAAAAAGACTGTCCACCAAATCTAGTCTTCAGAGAACTAATCGCAGAGAAAACTAATTTTTTGAAAATAGCGGTTGGCATCCTCTTTTTACAAACAGTTCGAAGAGTGAAGACATGTCCGCTACCTATGCAGTGCCAGATGCTACAGAGGGGACCACAAACCTTATTCATAAAGCTAAATTTAAAGCGGTTATCATCACAGATAGTTCACCACTCGTAAAACCTGTTCGCAACCCCTTGAATTTCAGCTGGAACACCATTAATAGAGTGGGGAATACTATTGCCGCATAAAACTTAAAATTTTTTGGCTACTAGGTCATAATAGGCTCTTTGGAAACGAGCGAGCGGATCTAACGACCAAATTCACAGCTTCCACACCTTTAATTATTGACGGCACATTGGGAAGGTTAAATTAAGTGTATATTAAGAAACAAATTAAAAAAAGTAACGAAAAAATCGACTGTCCTACCATCCACACTGTAGACATGTTAAGCCTAATCTCGTTTCATCTCTATATCCAATCAACGTAGGAAAAATCTAGATCAAAATTTTGCAAGAATCCGACTTGGAGATATCACTGCAACATAGATCCTAAAAAAATCTCCTGATGTGCGACCGATATTTACGATGGCAATGCAATGTGAGAGGAAAAATTTTAATCTCTACTCGAAATGGTGGCTGCTAACACGTACGAGAGCAAGAAGCAGGAAGCTAAATGTGCTACTTCGAAATTACTTAAGGTGAAATTCTTCTGATATGGATTTAAAGTAAGAGGGCATGCAAGCGTTTTAAAAAATACTGAAAAATTTAAAACAAAGCAGTTTTTGCTTAAGCGAACTAGAGGTGGAAAATAAATTTTATCTCAGCCACTTTTATGTGATTGTACATAGAAGCTTGGGGCGTTTAAAAAAACCGATTTCGTCCACAGTAAAATCTTGAGCTATACTCTTATAGAAGTAACTGGTATAAAATTTTTTTCCCACTTTTCACTTCAGTTAAATAAATCGTGTTTTTAACTTTGGTTATACGATTTCTTTTCGTTTTATCTGTTAGTAATTCACCTAAAATTGCGAAAATTCCTTAATACCGGCCCACTAATAAGAACCGAAAATATTGCCAATTTTATCCTACCCTACCAATTTACCGATACCAATTTACTAATTAATAATTTATGACCTTACCACGGTACGATAAAATTGATATTGATAAAGTGAATAGCGATAGGTATCGAACATAACTTTTTTACTTATTTTGCCTACAATCTCAAATATTAAGCATGCAAATAGTGATTGCCCTAACAATGTCTTGAAAAATGTATCAACAAATAATTAGTTTGTAGTGTGATCGCATACCGTCGTATGCATCCACTTTGAAGTGCGACAGAATTATGCTGAATTTGCATAATTCTGTAGCAAAAAAAAGTAAAACAAGAACTTTGTCGCACTTCAACTGGCTGGGTATTGCATTACGAAATGCAATACGATGCCAGGCGCCCTAATTAAAATAATTGATAACGTAGCATAAAATCACCTATAGATTTAAGTATAAGTAATGCACCTGGCAAATAAAGAATTTTAATTGCTATCAAACAATTCAATCAAAGCGTATTAACTCGCTGTTTTAATAAAGGCGTTCTATCCGCCTCGTAACTTTAATTAGGGACCGTCTCTTGCCGAGTTCTTTTGGCACTATATGAGACGGATAGATTTGGCGTTCTGCAGCCGAGCAGATTAGGGCCCTAAGGCAGTAAAACTACCTACACTTAGGGAAGGATTCATAGGGAATCCTCCCAAATACCCAACGCATTTTCTATCTCCACTACACATCGGCTGAGTATTAGCTTCTATCATTACAAGTTATCACGAAATTTCACTGACTTCGCCATTGACGCAATTCACAAATAGTTGCATAAAGCAAGGTACGTGCCCACAACAATTCACGTCGTGTTTCAACCAATGTGTACAGTGATCATAAAATGATAATTATTTCCATGCGCGTTCCATAGTACCCTCAGTCATTTTAGTTAACTGATGTAGTGCGACTTGCATTTCCTAATTCATCATATGTTTAATCCTTTGCTTTTTATGTTTTCATTCACAGGTTTATGCTGTTGTAGTATCACATGAGCAAATTTCTGGTGAGTTGTCTCCAGCAACTGTTAGCTACACAAGTGGATTCTTCCAAATACCTGTTATAGGGATATCATTACGCGATGCTGCTTCTTCGGATAAAAATATTCATGTATCTTTTCTACGTACAGTAACGCCTTATTATCATCAAGGTGATGTCTGGCTTGAGATCACTTTGGTT